CCTGAGATCATGACCTGAGCCAAAACCAAGAGTCTACCCCTTAATGGACTGCACTACCCAGGCCGTCCCTGAGCCACAGTTTTTGAAAGCTTGGCTACCTGATTGAAAACTGAGGGAGGGAATAATACAGGGAAGACAACACACACAAATCAGTATTCTGGAAACTAGTACCAGGAGGGAATACAGTTAGTGCCAAATGCCAGTAGAAGTGTGGTGGTTTAGTATACTTGAAGTGATTTGGGAAATACTCATGAGAGAGATGAGACTTGAACCGAGCTTTGAAGAAGGGATGGGATTTGCCACAGGTTGGGCATGTGTATCTGTTAAGTTTGGGTTTGTAAAGGTAGTGCCTTCATGTATCAGGTTTGATAACTATTATTATTTGGCACAAGTAATGTGCCAAATAATAATAGGGGCGGGTTGGGGGTGGTAATTGCGTGAGGCTAGGGTATGTGTGAGGTGTTTGGGAGTGAGTCTGTGAGGTGGGTTGTGTGTATGACTATGGGAAGGAGTTGGGAGTTCTTAACTGTTGTGGAATTGCTTAGGAAAGAGTGCTTTGCTATTAGGAGGATTTTTCTGGTAACAGTAAGCTGGGTGGATTTAGAAAGGGAAGGCACTTAGAAGGCTATTAAAGCAGTTCTGACCTGAACTGAGAAGGGTTGATGGCAGTGGGAAATGGGAAGAAAGGAACTGATTGGACAGAAACCACTAGAGAGACTCTGGTGGGGGGAAGGGCAAAATTCAAGAGGATTCTGCCTTTCTCTGCTGGGTGCAGAGGTCCTCATGGTGTCCTTAATGGAAATAGGAGAAATCAGGGTTAAGGGTTTGCTGTGAGAGGAAGAGAAGAGGTTTAATCTAGGAAGTGATAAGGTATTGGAGCCCTGAAATGAGGTCAGATTTATGGATAAAGGGTTCACTGTATCATCAGTCTTCAGGATCTTGCTCAAGGCCAGTTGTTTTTTTCTGTTGACTGTTGTGAGGAAGGACAGTGATGTAGAAAGATGCGGAGGAGAAAAGAGGGGAATAACTGTGTGGAGTTTTGGCTTAAGAGTTAAGTATACTTTTTATATTATCAGTATTACAGCTCAGAATTACCATGTGATACTGTAACAGAACCTGAAAATTCAGCATGCTTGGAATAACCTAGTTTTAACTTGCATCTCTGTTCTGCTAAGATGCTTTCTGAGCATTTATAAATTTCCATAGATTTATGTTAATTAATATTTATATCAACAATTTATATTAATGAGTTAGTGTTTATATTACTGAGTACAGACTCATATTTAATAAAGCTAATACAAAACCTTAAAGACTGCTGTTAGTCCTTCATTTGGATGACTTACATTTGAAACTAACTGGCAAGGGGGCTTCTCTGTTTCTTTTCTTCTTATTTTTTTAAAATATTCATTTATTTGAGAGAGAGAGAGCATACATAGCAGGAGGAGGGGGACAGGGAGAAGCAGACTCCCCATTGAGCAGGGTATCCTGACCTGGGGCTTGATCCCAGGACCCTAAGATCATGACCTGATCTGTAGGCACATGCTTAACCAATTGAGCCACCCTGGTGCCCTGTTTCTTTGTTAAGGATTTTATACATGATGAGGATTATTTCCCTTCTCCCATTTTTGTTTCATAGGGTTTTTAGTAGGTGGTTGGGAGAATTTGTAGGGTAGCTATGATTTTGAGGAATTTCCTTTAATAGAAATCTGGTTCTTCAACAATGTTTGGTAACGCCTCACTAATATGGGCTAATTAATTCATTATTAAGCATGACAATAAAAAAATGTTTAATTGATAGCTTCTCTTTTCCCCTGATCATTAGTCTGTATACTCATAATACTTGGGCTTTTATTATTATTTCAACTGGGAAGTATATAATCAAAAGCAGTTGTCAGTTTAGGACTGATTGATATACTTGGAGACCTTATTCAGTCTGTCTACAGGTAGTACTTGATGCACAAATGGATTCATGGATTCTTTGATCCACAGGATGAGAATTGTTGGTGTGGCATTCGAACCAAGGAATATTTGAAGAGTAGAAGTTGTGTGTGGTTCTCCTTAAAAAGGGTCCAGATTGTGCAGATTTTGTTTTTGCTTTTTATTGTACCAATTAATGCAAGTATAATTCATTGGATAGAATTTGGAAGTGTTTCCATGTAAAATTAGACTTGCAAATTAAATTTACTTGGGTATATGACTATGTTAACATAAAAGATATATTGTAACAGTTTTATTTTGCTGTACAGTATTAATTCTCAGAGCTGGTTGCTATTAAAAATAATTTTATGTTTTTTGGGGGGATTTTTGACATCTGGAAGAAAAAATGTACTTAGTGTTAATTTGTTGTCAGTAATGCAAAATCATATAGTTGAGCCAAAGTCATCTTTACTCTTCCATTCCACTTACTGATTACAGCAGGTATAAATGGCTCTCTCAGATAATCCTCTCCAGTGAGTTTTAATTTTCAGTTACTAAAAAATGGTATTTCTCCAAAGCCTCACTTTCCCATCGAGTTGACACTGTATACATCATTATTTAATATAATTCACTTGCCTTAAAACTTTGGAGCATGGTTTTGGTATTGCTTAGTTACCTGGATTTTTGAAGAGGGAGGCTACTTACCAGGCATATATGACAGTGACTCTATTTTTTATGACAGTTTTTTGTTTTTTTGGTCAGATGTGGACATTTAAACATGCTGTGCTGGCACATTAGTTCCATGAAGATGAGCTAAGATAATGTAAATTTACAAGCTGTTCAGTTGAGCCTATAAACATACCAAACTAAGACTTAGTGAAGCAAGCATGAAATTTTGAATGTGAATATTTTGAATGAAATACTGAAATTACGTGTAGTAGCCCTGGATATATATTCATTATGTCATTTGTTCTTGTCATGATAAGTTTCTACTTGACCGTGTTTTTTTTTCCAGTAGCACAAGCAACTTATTTATATTTCATTCCTGAGAAACTAAAGGAAGAAACTGCCTAGTGAATATGAAATATGAACTGTATGATTATAGTTCCTTGCTCTTTAGCACACTTTTGGACTGCTGTTAGAGTGTATGTAATCTGTACAAACTGAATTTCAAAATCTAAGCAATATAAATATAAATAACCTGGGTTGGGGGAAAATACAGTTGCTGAAGGAGAAAAAGACTTCAGGCTAAATACAAGCAGTATTTATTTTTTGCTTTTCAACTTAGTTTACATCCTTTCTGTCTTCAGTAATAACAAGTAATATGGGTAGGAACTGATTTAGCACGACTAAGTTAATATTAAGGATACCATTAGTTCACATACATACACGTTTAAGGCTTTAGAGAAAAATGTCTTTCCCATGTCTATTTGACTGACCAGCCCAATCAGTTAGCTAATTTTGTTGCTAAGTAAATTTAATTTATTAAATTACAATGCTAAATACAGTTAATTATTAAAAGAAATGAATAGGATTAAAATAAAGGCTTTTTAAAAAATAAATACTTCTGGATAAAATAGCAGGCTTCAAGTGAAACTCAGTTTTGGTTTCCTTTACAGGACTAGCTATTCACAGTCAGAACTACTTAGCACGCTTTGCCAGTGTCTCCTGAGGAAGTCAGAATCTGAGCCAGCATGAAGACTGAATCTTGTCTTTGGTCTGATTTATAAGTCATACTTTTATTCTAACCATGTGCAAGGTGGAGGTTATAGCATGGAAACTAGAACCTTAGTAAGTGTGATTTTTATTTTAGCTAATAAATTATAGCCTTTCTTGTAGTGAATTTGTCTTCTTAACAGAGTTCACACTATAAATGGGGTGAGGACTTGGCAAACAGAGACATAGTAATAAACACATACAAAGTGAAAGATTAAGCTTTTCAGGTCAGGAAAAATCCCTGAGAAAGGGAGGCAAAAGCTTCTTTTACTCTGCCTAGGATTTTTCACTTTTCTCGTTAAAAATATGTGGCAGGATAATATTTAGTTGAGAAGGGATATAAGTAAATGAAGAGTCAGGCTTTAGTGGCAGCCATTAAAAAAAGTAATTATTAAATTTGCTGTGGAAGTTACTTCATAAATTAGTTGGCATTAAATCATGAAGTCTTCATTTTAGTGTAGTGTTAGTAATAAGCCCAGTGTAGAATCCTGTGAACCTTTTCAAATAGTGAATATAGGTTTTTAGTATGAATTGAATTTTGAATGTATTTTAAATACTGAATATTTTGAGTATGAGTATTCAAAATTCTATTGGCATGAGTATGCTAGTAGTTATCTTAGGGACATTCTGTTGATTTTATTGTCCCAGTAGATGACGTATAGTTTTTATTTTTTTGTGCTTCAGAGATAACTAGATTTTGAAGGGTGTAGGCTATCAAGGAACTTGATCTGTATTTCATAGTGTTACTTTTCTGATTGTAAGGATTACTCTTCAACATTTTTCTTTTCTGCCTGTGCTTAATAAGAGCAGTGGATAAGTAGCACTTTTAAGCTGCTTTTTCTTCCTTAGCAAAAATGATAGAGTTGACTTTGTTTGATCTTCTGAATTCTTCAGTGAATCAAGCATAAGGATACTGTACCTAGATAGCATAAGAATCTCTGTTGTTCATAATTTGAGAATGGTTACGTGTTTAAGTTACTGATTTGTGTTCTTTCCCTTCTCTTTGAATCTTAACTGTTGGTTACTCTTCTAAATCGATGGTGATGACCTGGCTTAAATTAAACATCTATTAGTGGCCTCTCTGTTTTAACTTGCTTCCCTCTTAGAACAAACCTCCCATTATCTTCTGCTTATCCCTTTTGCATTCTAAAGTACAATTTCATTAAATCCCTGAGGTCTAAGATTTTTCTTTGGAAACTTGTCTCTGGTGTCTCTAATGGAAATTGGAAAAGTGAGGATAGTTCATTGCTAAATCTCACAGGCTGCTTTTGTGAGATTTATATTTTATAAGTTGAAGGGTACTTTTGGGGCACAGAGATGGAATTATGTAGTTATTGTTTTAATAACTATGTCCTAATTGTTTATAGCTTCCTGCCTGACATAACTCACTTCAAGAAGAGCACAATGTCAGAACGTGGAATTAAGTGGGCTTGTGAATATTGTACGTATGAAAACTGGCCATCTGCGATCAAGTGTACTATGTGTCGCGCCCAAAGACCAAGTGGAACAATTATCACAGAAGATCCATTTAAAAGTGGTTCAAGCGATGTTGGTAGAGATTGGGATCCTTCCAGCACTGAAGGAGGAAGTAGTCCTTTGATATGTCCAGACTCTAGTGCAAGACCCAGGGTTAAGTCTTCATACAGCATGGAAAATGCAAATAAATGGTCATGCCACATGTGTACCTATTTGAACTGGCCAAGAGCAATCAGATGTACCCAGTGCTTATCCCAGCGTAGGACCAGGAGTCCCACAGAATCTCCTCAATCCTCAGGATCCGGTTCAAGACCAGTTGCTTTTTCTGTTGATCCTTGTGAGGAATACAATGATAGAAATAAACCGAACACAAGGACCCAGCACTGGACTTGTTCTATTTGCACGTATGAAAACTGGGCCAAGGCTAAAAAATGTGTTGTTTGTGACCATCCCAGACCTAATAATATTGAAGCAATAGAGTTGGCAGAGACTGAAGAGGCTTCTTCAATAATAAATGAGCAAGACCGAGCTCGGTGGAGGGGAAGCTGCAGCAGTGGGAATAGCCAAAGAAGATCACCTCCCACTACGAAACGGGACTCGGAAATGAAAATGGATTTTCAGAGGATTGAATTGGCTGGTGCTGTTGGCAGCAAGGAGGAACTTGAAGTGGACTTTAAAAAACTAAAACAAATTAAAAACAGGATGAAAAAGACCGATTGGCTATTCCTCAATGCTTGTGTGGGTAAGTTTCTACATTTTTTGAAAGGGATGGGAATAGGTATTAAGAATGACATGAAAGATGTAAACAGTATCAATGTTACTTAGGATTTAGGTCATTCAGCATGATAGCTGTACTTCCACTAAGCATGCATAAGAATCTGTATTTGTGATCGTGTTATAGCTTTATCCTAAATCGCCTCCATTTCATTGTGTGTCTTTCCGTCATTAAGGAGAAAAACTTTCTAAGTTAAAGTTTTTTACACATCAGTAGGAGAAAAATATACCTGGAGTTTGAAACTGCTGCTCTGTTCATTTTAACAAGATGTGACTGAGGAACACCAGCTGCTGCTTCGGAGTGTTTGTAAACAGTGTGAGCATCTTGTGATGACAGAAGCGTTAGTCAGATGTTAAAAATATCACAAAAATGTGACTCCAAGAAGTTGAACAAACATAACATTGACCTTGAAAATACCGATGTTAATTTAACATGAATGTCATGTAGTTAATACTGGCAAATTTTACAAAACTGATTTCACGTAGCCAGCTGGATTCCACAGTTGAAATCATGATGTGTGTGTGTGTATTGTGGTTTTAGTGCTTCCTAAAGGAATTCTGGATGTTGATTCCCAGTTACTGTTCAGACCCGGTGAAGGACCAGAGCATGTCAGAGAGCAGGGTTTTCTCTAGTTACCAACCTTGTCGATTAAATATTTGTGATGTAATCCACAAAAGCAGCTATTGGACACCCGGTGCTTTTTTGTTTCTTTTGAGTAGGTTAGCTTTTTGAGTTTTATGATTTAAATTATCATAATTTTTGATAATTTAATGGGGTTTAATTATCCCCACTGGGGATATTTTGGGTGGTGCTTGCTTTGACATTCTGTTTTTTTGTTTTTTTAAGATTTTATTTATTTATTTGACAGAGATCACAAGTAGGCAGAGAAGCAGGCAGAGAGAAAGAGGGAAGCAGGCTCCCCGCTGAGCAGAGAGCCCATGTGAGGCTCCATCCCAGGATCCTGGGAACACAACCTGAGCCCGAAGGCAGAGGATTTAACCCACTGAGGCACTCAGGCACCCCTGACATTCTGTTTTGTAGAGAAAATTTTTGTAAAGGATTATTTGGAGCGACTAACGTTAAATATTGTGTGGAACAGTAGCTAAGCTTTAAATATAGCTTAGCTGTATGTGTATGTTTTTTACAGGTATGAATTTCTTTTGTTTACCCTCCTGAATATAGTGCCAAGAACAGAAGATATAACTATATGAACTTGTAAGTCCTAAGCATAGATTTCAAGAAATCTGAGTTTTTTATTTTAGTTTTGTTCTGGTAAAAAGAATGTCCCAGAAGGTGAGTCCTTCTGAACACCAAAACACAATAGACACTTAGTAACTCTTAGCTCCAATTTTCTTCTGTCCGAGGACTAGGGATGAGAGCACACTGACCCATTTTAGATTATCTGTGTTTTTCCATTTCATCCCATAGATTTTTTTTCCCCCTCCAAGTTGGGGTACCCTATATGGCATAATTTTCCTTTTTTTTTTTTTTTTTAAAAAAAAGGAGATGCATTGTATTTATTTTATTGAGGCCAAAGTCGACCCATAACATAAAACTCACCATTTTGAAAATGAACAAATCAGTGGCATTTAGAGCATTCACAGTCTTGTGCAGCCACCACCTGTCTGGCGCTAAATCATTTTCATCACCCCAAAAGGAAACCCTGTAAACCTCTACCTCCCCTCCTCTCCCAAGTCCCTGGCAATCATGTCTGCTTTCTGTCTCTCTGGATTTACCTATATTGGATATTCCATATAAATGGAATCTTATGTGACCTTTTGTGTCTAGGTATGATTGTCTTTAAATTACCTGAATGCCTTTTGGAAACTCTTAAATCGTTTTTGCAGGTGGTAATGGACTAAGCATACATTTAGTACAAGGTCGTTTTATAGTACACGTAAGTTTACAGATGGAAGTGAAGTACATTGCGACGATTATTAACTTCTTTTGGGGTCTTAGAATCCTTTAGAAATTAGAGATTCCTTCTTGAAGTTAGTGTATCTCAGGACAAGTAATTCTGCTTTGAAATACTTTCTCTTGAAACACAGATTAAACGAATCAATATAACTTTGTCTATGTGGCTGTTACTTCTTTATGATGACTCTCATTTTGTTGCTACCTTTTATTTCTTTCCACATACTCTTATTTCTTTTGGGATAATCATCTTTGTACCTCTTTGCATTTTGATGGCTGTGATTTCATTTTAAAGTGGAACAAAAACTTATGCCAGCAGGTCCAGTATTGTGTTTGATCTTATTTCATTTACCAAATGGTTTGTTATTAGGTCCCTATTCCCACCCACTCCAGAGTTTCTAGGTTCTTAGGGCTAAGTATTAATTGTATTTAGTTCTTAGTAATGTGCATTCTGTTTTCCCTATCAACAAATACTTTTAACTTCACCATACAATATGGTTCTGAACTGTTGTACCAGAAATTATGACTGTCTTTATTGGGTAGTGCTGTCTTGATTTGTAAACATCACTGAAATATGTGTAAAAAAATTTTTTTTTTGTTTACCTTGTGTTTAACAGAAGCTCACATGTACTGAACATTAATCTTTACCTCCCTTTTTCTGCCTACTTTATGTTCTCCAGGTTTCATTAGATATGGTATATTATGGCTTGTCCATGTTAGGCATTTAAGAAAATCATCTCTGTGGTCCCCTTGGTAGCACATAAAAATAATCTCTGAAGTATATACACTAAAAGTATTTACTGAGTATAAAATTTATACTAGGTATAAAATGCGAGACTTAACCCCTTTGAAATTGGAAAAAGTCTCAACCTTGTAGCTGGTTAAGATAGAATTAAGTTGTTAAGAAGGCAAGTAAACCAAAGTGCCAGCAGTATTGAGCAAGTTTCTTTTTTACATGACTGTTGGGTATAATTTTCACCTAAGTCATTATTACTATCTTATGTAGTGAGCGGACATTGGGGACAGTGATGCCAAGATCTGACATCAGTGAAAGTGGAATCTGGGAGTAGGAACAGGGATGGTAAAGACAGAGGTGTGAATTTAAATGTGCAGTTGTCTCTGGAATGTGTGCAGTTTGGTGCCAGGTGTTTTCTGGGAGGTCATGTTGGTGCTAATCATAGACTGCCTTTCTGGCTGGATAGATAATGTCCCTAGAGAACAGGGCACTACTACCTAACACACCATTTTAGTTCTGCTATTGTATTGAATCAGTTGCCCTTTAGAAGAACATTTTAATTTGTGACCCAAGTTGATCCCTTGAAAAAGTAATGGGTCACATAAGAATCCCAAATTAAATCTGTGGTGATAGCTTTCTGTCTTCCTGAACCCTGGACTTGTGTATCCAGTTGTATACACCACATTTTGCCTTGAATAGCTAATATTTCCAAATTCTTTCCAACTTATTGAAGCTGAAACTGAACTGGTCTGCCCCTTAAACCTATTCTTTCATAGTTCCCTTCTCCCTCGATGGCTGGTTTATCATTCTACCGGCTGTGCCCAAAGCCTCGGTCATCCTTGATCCTCCTTTTCTCTTATGCCTTTCCTACTTGTGAGAAAAACTACTGGCTCTACATTTGAAATACGTACAGGATCTGCACTTCCATAATCCCTTCTGTCCTTTTTCTCTTTTACAAATTGTTCTCCTCATAGGAGATATTCTTCTAAAACTCTGCTGGAACTAACTCTTCAGTGATCACCTGTGTTGCTCAGAGTAAGAGCCAGAGTCCCTCAGAGACGCTCTAGACCTCACAGTTGTATTCTGCACCTTCCTCTCCCCCCGCCCCAACACAGTTCCTCTCCCACCTGTTGCTCTCCACTCATTCACTTTAGCCACTCTGGCCACCTTTCTTCTCTACAAATAACCTCAGGCCTTTATACTTGCAGTTTGCTCTGCCTGGATTGCTCATTTCTGGATTGCACGATCACCTCATTATTAGTTGCTTAAAATTCTTTCCTCAGTTGCAGCCTTCTTGGTGAGGCTTCCCTGACTGCTGAATGTACAGTTCCAGCCCTGTCCTCATCCCCTTCCCCCAGTTTTAATCGTCTTCACAACACTTGCCACTTTATTATTTGTCTCTTTCTTCCTTAGAATTTAAGCTTTGTGAGTGGCAAGAATTTGTTTCCTTCACGGCTATATCCTGGTACTTAAAACAGTGTCTGACATGTAGCAGACATTCAGGCATTTGTTAAATCATTTCAGTGAATACGTCCTTGTCGAACCTGGCATCTGGACAAATAGAGCTTTCTGCTGCTTTTCTGAATTTCTAGATTTTTTACTTTCTTCCTAGCTTTCTGTATTTTTTTTACTCTACAGACTACTCCTGAGACTTGACCCTTTGGGAGCCATTTGACTTCTCCCTATCAGGAAAAGATAGGAAATTGGTACAACAGAGTCTTCTTGGAAGAGGCCGGCCCCAGTGTATCACTAGGCAGTCTGTGGATATGAACAGTCTGAAGTCAGATTTCTTTACCTTACATTTCTCTGTCTTCTGCCTTCGCTGATGAATATCTGACAGTTCGGTCAATATATGATATAAAGAAAAAAGTCATGTGTATGCTGTGCCTGAAGTCCTAAAGCAAATGCACTTTTTACTGGAACACTATAGTCCGTTGTCCTTGGATCTGTTGGTGCAGTTTGGCATTTTGTCTCCTGTCTCCAGCAACAGCTATATCTTTTTCACGTTTAGCTTGTCAGTGACCCTGCTAATGAAGATGGGAAGGATTTGAGATTGGGGATCAGGGTGGTGGTGAAGGTTTAGAGGTAAAGTGGTGTAGGGTTGAAACTGCCATGGCAGTGGCATTACAGAAAATGTGTGCATCAGTAAAGTCTCCTGTTGTTCCCAGGCTTTGGGGTGACCTGAAGCATGCACGTGTGTCCCCTGTTGAGAATCACTGGTTAAATCGTGATTTCCTTACCAGTGAGCAAGCTGAGACGGAATCCTGTTGATTATAGTCTGGGGTATGCCTGAGCAAAATTTTGATGGGTCTAGAAA